TAGATGAAATTACAAGCATTAAAACACTCAAATGATATAAGGATACCCTAGGAGCAACCTCATGGTCATTCATATCCTCTTGGCTGTCCATATCTATCAAGATTTAGAGTCACTCTAGACCATTATATTTGTAATTATATCTTATTAATCTAGATCCAACCCATGCAACATTTTCCATATCTTAGTTTTGAAAGTATCACACAAATAAATTTTTCGCACATAACCCCTCGCTAAATATGCTAAAGAATATTTGAATAAGCCTTTACAACCAAAAGTAGAAATGGAACTCTTGTAAGAACCATCACAGCTGATCTTAGTCCAACTGTTAACTAGATGATACCGACAAACATGTTTGATCTCTGGTTTTAAAAACTTATCATTATTCTATAACAAATTGTCATTTTCAACGTATTTCACGAGATGCATGATTATTTTTTTGGGTTTTCAAAACACTGAAATCCATCTTCAAAAATGTGTTATTCCTCCACTTCCATAAGTACCAACAAGAGATCATAAATATGGACCTTCATCATGTGAATCTATGAATTTGTAGGTAGAACTATATGCATTTGTTAGATGTTCATGGTGGTTTGGATGATAAAACACTATATGTCAAACAACAATATATGAAATCCTCGTCCTTCAAGAAAACTCAATGGTCTGGATAATTCTATCAAGATGATTTTGTGAGATCAATTTGTAAAGAAAATTTATAAGGACAATACCTAAGGTCAAAAGAGTTCGGTAAAGTCGATGATGATCTCTAGAAAAAACCCTAATGATGGCATCTATCAAAGAAGCTATATCAAGTCTCATCAGTTAGAAGAATCAAGTCTCGTATGAATATTTGAATCAATGATGAATCAAGTAAGAGATATTAAAGCTTTAAATATTGTAAAAGTTAGTTTAATCTACTTCTGAGTGATCAATGTTTTATAAACGTATAAGAGTAATTCTTAAATTACTAAGGAAACTCACACACTCACCTAAAAATGTTCTTAAACCTCTCTGATTTTGATAAAATACCTTAAAGTTGATGGAAGAATTATCAAGTTGTGTGTGGAATTGACCAAAAGTGTTCCTAATCACTTAGGAAGAATTTTAAAACCACCTAATTAATGAGGGACTTAGTTTAATCAATTAGATAAAGGCAAAAGACTTCTTAATAAATTAGAAATACTCTCAATCGATTAAGACACATAACAGTTATAGGGTTCCATTTTTGGATTAGGGTTACCATCATTTTGAACCTCTTAATAGATTAGCCCTAGTGCTTAGTCGATTAAGTCATTAAAAGGCCAATGGATCTTTTTCCTTTTTTAGCCAAATTTTCTTCTATAATAGAAGGATTCTCCTAATTTTTTTCTTTATACCAGTAATTGAATCTATAGCTATTCATTCTTATTTATACTCTCTCCTACTTCATTTACTTCTACTTATTCATAAAACTTCCTTAATTCTTTGAGAGTGAAATACACATATGGGAGTTTTGGTGGTGTGAAATAGTTGTAATTTACTAAATAAGGTATCATATCTTTTGTAATATTAGTGAAAGTCTTTGTTTCTATAGTTCTGAGCTTAGTCCGTGAAAAACTCATTGTTGATTCTTGATATTAGCTAGGCAAAATATGTGTTTGGTTCATGAGCTCAGGCTGGGGTAAAAGCTCTGCTTAATTTTGAGATTTCCTGGTGTAAAATCTCTTGTTTGGTTTGGAGATTAGTCAGTATAAAATCTCTCGTTTCATTGAAGGTTCGTGGACTTAACCTGTGAAATTTTTCTATCTCATTTAGTGAAAACTCTCAAGAAGAAATTCTTTTGAGTAAGAGTAAGCCAATTGGTAGGCCAAACCTATATAAATCTTTTGTGTATGCTCTCTTTTCCTTATTTATTTACTTCCCATTGCTTTATTTTGTTCACGTTTTATCTTTTCTCTTTCTTCTTTCTTTTCTATTCCGCCGCTCGAACTCTTTTTGATAATAAAAATAATCCAAGGATTTTAATAAAGTGAATTTTTATAATTTAATATCATTTTTCGAACAATACAATTTAATCCCCCTCTTGTGTTTGGGTAACTTGTCCAACATATTTCACTTTGTGAAAATTCACACTATCTACTATGAGATTGTAAGAGTTCGGATCCCTTTAAAAAAAAGTGTAAAACTAAGCTATTTTGTTTGAAGGAATCAGTTTAATTCATACCCGGGTTGCATACGAGTAATCTCGTAGCATATGAACTAAGACATCTTTTATGTTTGTACACTAGTTGTATTCAATAGTAATTTTAGGGTTCCACTTATGACATTTATAATTTTTCAAAAATCTTTCATGTAACATAATTCAAATGAATGTCGTAGATTCAATCAGAATTTTTCCATTTTCAAATGATCTTTTAATCAATAATGAAGAAAGATATCTATAGATATTGCTAACACAAAATTCATTATCTCTATTTTCACCACTCCTCGTGTTATCTATATTTTAACCATCTCACATGTTATCTATATTTTAACCATCTCAATAGTAAAATCATTTTAAAGTAAATCAAGGTTTTATTCCCTCCTATTAAAAACATCTGTAATAAATTTGAGTCTTCTCATAATTAATCTTTTACCCTTAAGAGTTGATAAAATTGATCTAGACAATATTTGATACAATAAACTTACTCTATAGTGGTCTAAGCAAAAAAGAAGGTCAAATGCAAAAATGAAGTGAGACAATTAATGTTCCTCACGTCTCATTAGCATAGGTTTCCGATAACATGCATCAATCTAACGAGCAATAATACATTCTCGCTAACAACTACCTCCGCCACTAACTCATTTTATACTAAATTATAATATTATAATGTCTCCGTTATTTTTTTATTTAAAATATATGAATATTACTTTATTATATATAGGTTATTTCAAATTAAGTATTCTCAGCTCCTAATACTACTCATTTTTAAATTCATATTACTTTATTGGTTTATGTATATAAATGGTTTTTTTTACGATAACTAGATATTAAAAAAAATATATAAATAATTATATTCAAAAAAAAATTATGTCAATAATTATATTTCAAAAAATGGTAATATGCAGTAGTCAAGTGAGGTGGTGTATATATATTTTTTTTTAAGTGACGTCAAATGAGATGGCGTCTAAGTTTACGATAAATAATTAATAAAATAATACTCACAATCTCTCTTCATCCCAATTTCTTCATCATTTATATCTGGTAAAACAATTTCCACAATATGTCTTCATCTCAATTTCTTCATTATTTGTTTTTATTCTAGATTGATCCAATGACTAGAATTGATTCAATTTGCTTTTATTTTTTGCATGGCCCAACAATACTGGCCCAATATCCCTGGTCGACCTTGCCCCTCGAGCGACATGACCAGCGATGCCCGAAACACACACCTGCTCACGAGGGCAGTTACCTCCCAGTCTGCTCGACACTCGTCAAGCAGACAACCAGGAAGGCGTTCGCTACTCGTCATCTCACTCTTGCTCGAAGCAACGGCTAGTTACAGACACGACTGTCCATTTTGACCAAGTCTTGGCAGTTATCTATTTTCGCAGACCCAAATATCTAGGTCCAAAAATAGTAATCAATGGCTACACGCTGGAGAGATTATACAAACCCTCGCACTTGTGAGGGTCAGATATCGAATATTCACTCTAAAAACCCTAATCTCTTTCTTGTATCTCTTTGTGCTCCTACTGACTTTAGCATCAGAGTGTTTTGCAGGTACACCCCCTCCTCTCCTCAAATTTCCAACCTAGTAGACGTCATCATCCTTTAATCTACTTTCAAGTTCTGATCAACCAATAAAATCAATTTTCTCTTACAAATCCATACAACTATTAGTGACAACACTATTATAAAAGATGCACAACTAATTATTTAGTCTTTTTTCTCTCAATTAAAATTTTAATTCAATTTCATTTTTTTATTTTTTGTTTTTATTTTCTTATTCATGTTTTTTTCATTTATATTTTCCTTTTCTTATTCATCATTGAGTTGGATTAAAATGCTTTGGATGTTTATAGATCCTAAATTATTATTTTTGCATGTTAATGATATTTTATAGTTGATTATAATGTTATCAATTTTATTATAAGGTTAAATATATTTAAAGTTAATGTAAATCAACTATTTTCATTTTTAGTTCTTTTAAAATTTTATTAAAGAATCATTCTCTTAATATCTTTCAATTGTTATTGAATTGTGAAATAAACGAGTTCGGTGAATAAATACACGTTTAATGAAATTTTAAAAATTATTACGAAAATACATCTTCAGTTTAACCTTTTCACCGATCCTGAGATTAAATCCTAAACTATTTTTTGACCAAAAAAATATCTCAATTACGACGTATTTTTTGAGAGATGTAATCCTAAACTATTTTTGACCAAAAAAATATCTCAATTACAAACATCTTTTTTGTGTACATTTAATGTAGTCGTTCGATAATACACTTCTAGAATATAGAAAGGACAAATTCAGGTTTCCAAAAGGGTAGTCCTTCACCCATGGGTTGGGAAAAGTAACCCCCCTTAAAGTTCTTTGTGACATGTCTAAGTTTCTTTAAAAATTTCACACAAAGAGTTATGGTCTCGAACCATAAATTATAAACATTGTTTAGAAATCATATTTTACATATAATTTGATTTGATACTATATTTTAAGTACCAGTCCAATTTAATTTAGCCCTCTATTCCTTCCTTTTAACATTTTATGTTTAGCAAAGTTTACATAAAGATATTCACCTCAACAGATTCCACTACTCTCTAAGATTCTAAAAAGATGAACTTGTTGATCTTGATCACAATATAAGACTTGGAAAGGGTAAGCCCTTTTAAGTTTAGAGTTTGATCCATGCTGCTAACAAACTCTCCCTCCTTGTAACCAACTAATCCCTAAACTTTGCCTAAAAATAGAAACAAGAGATAAAAAAACAAAAAAAAACATGGCTTTCACAACAGAAAATTTGGGAAGGGTAAGTTCTTCAGTTCAACATAGGATTTCCTTGTTCATTCCTTGGCAGTAAGATGTTTCTTCCGACCAAAGATCGTGCTTCCCAAGATGGTAAATGTCGAAGAGTCCACCATGTACCGAGAATTCCAACCAAAGTAAACTTGTGATCTCTCACTTCAATATCAGCCAGACAAAGAAGCTTATAGTCCTCTACTTCTACTTTGCTGGCATATACTGACTGCAGATAAAAGAAGATCACCAGATAAGTAACTTATTTAAGCGCCTTATAGCAGAAGCATTTCTATCACATAAATTTATAAAACAAAAGATAAACTGGTCAAATTGTTTTCATTTCAACTATAAGCTGTTTTTATTTGCCATCCTGAAGAGGTTATGGAAATAAGCTGAAAACAACTCATCCTGTTTCCAGAAGTTCTTCCAAACAGTTTAACAAGTGCTTGTATCAGAAGCTAATCACAAATAAGTCAATCCAAATAAGCCCCAAACAAGCATAGCAATGTGGAAGATTATCAAACAATGTAGTGTCATATGCAGATACATAATTCTATCAGTAAATCATAAAATGATAATAGATATCTGTGTAAAATAAGCAAAAAAACCAAGATAGTTAGGTCTTCATGCTAAAAACACATTCAAATAAAAGAGATGACGATGCACCTTTTTGTTAAAAAAACTAGTATCTTCGCGTATAGATTGTTGGCACAACTGCAACACAAGAATTTGTTAATCAAAACATTGTCAAGTAAAACGAAATCACATTAAGTTACCCAATGAAATATATTTTGGAAAAATCTTAAGACTAGTTTGGAAAATGGCAACAAATAAATTCAAGTATTTTGTGTAGTATATTTTTTCAAAGTATTATCAATGCAGACCTGATCAACAAAAACATAGACAGAGAAAGGATTCGGTTTAGTGCTGAGTAGGAATAAGGTCAGTTTAATGAATAATATTGTAAATGGATTATCCAAGTTTGTAAGCACCGTCAGAAAGAACAAAATTGGCAGCCAAAACTTTCCAACTACTTTCCACAGATCTTCCATATTTTCTTCATCCTCTGAAAGATCTTGGGAACTATTACGACGATCATCCCACAAAGCATCCTCAACTCCTTGTTGCCGAAAGACAAAAAAAAAAGATCAAATTATTGAGAAATCACAAATCAAGGAAAATAGTTATTTTTCAAATTCGGTTACGCAACACTACTACAGTGCCGCTAAATCCACTATTTGACTTTGTACTAAATAGCGTATCGTAGAACAATAGCGATTTCTTCAATTTCAAGCAATAATAGCACTACAGCACTGCTATAGCCTTTATTCAACAACGGTACCAGAAAGAACTAAAGTATATAATACCAATCAAATTCGCAGCTCACCATCCATGGAATAAGCAATAGTTGATGCAGTTGCAACTGACACACCTAAGACGCATCCAATCCCTGAAATATGTATCAAAACAACCCAATATAACAAAAAAATTAAGTAAAGTCAAAATTGTTTTCGTATAAGTTGTTTTTATAAGTTAAACTTGTGAAAATAAGTCGAAAATAGTTTATGGATATATGACACATTGTTTCCATAAACTCGACCAAACAGTCTCACAGTGCTTGCTTATCGGTGGATAATCTCAAATAAGTCAATCGAAACTGATTCCACATTTTCAATTGGGATTTTCTTAAAAACTGCTATATAGAAATCATACATGAGTAATAAGTAGTTAGTAATTAGTTTCCTACTTTCATGCCAGTAACGTTAGTGGAATAGGTATTGATTGTTAGTTCCACTCCTTATTATTAGCATTCAGTTTCTCAATTCTTTGCTGTATATATTCGTGTAATTGTTTACCACATTAACATAGAATCATCAATTCAAATCCCTTCTCTACATGGTATCCAGAGCTTTAGGTTGAATTAATTTTTTTTCAAACCACATTCACTCCCATGGCTGGCAATATCTCCCACCTACTGGCCCTAGCCAATTCATCATCTTCCCAGATCAATTTTCAACTTCCTCCAATCAAAATCACTCTTGACAATGAAAATCACTGCCTTTGGAGCACCACTATCATCTCTGCTCTCGAAACCTTTGATCTTGAGTCTCATTTACTGGCACCAAATCCACCGCCACAGACTCGCTCCATTGCTGCTGACAATGGAACAATCACCCAAGAACCCAACCCTGAATATCTCGCCTGGAAGCGTCGCGATAGGTTGGTTCTGCTGTGGCTAAAATCAACTCTCTCCGACAGGGCGCTCGCCATCGTTGCTCGTAGCACCACCTCCCACATGGCCTGGACAGCACTCCAGAAAATTTTCCAGGCGCAGACTCGTGCTCGGCGGATGTCGCTGAAATTGCAATTACAATCCCTACCTAAGGGGTCTCTCTCTATCATGGAGTACGTCGAGCGAAAACGCTCAATTGCTGACTCCCTCGCTGCAAACCTGCACCCTGTTTCTGATGAGGACCTAATCGGTCACATCCTCTCTGGGCTAGATAGCTCTTATGGCGCCGTCGCCACTGCATTCATGATCCACAGTGATGATGCTTCTGTTGACGATCTGGTGGGCAAATTACTTCAGGAGGAAGCACGACTCGCTCACGAACTGGCTCGCCAATCCACCATCGCTCCCTTGGCTCCTTCATCTCCAGCACCAATCTCTTCTGCCCACGTCGCCAGTCGGCAATCTGGTCGGTCATACAATACCAACAATTCTGGTGGCGCCTATTCTCGCGGGGATTCCTGGAGCGACTCTAGAGGCGACACTCGTGCAGCAAACGGTGGTGAGTTCCGCCGTCGCCGCCCCCAGTGCCAATTATGTGGGCGTCCAGGTCATGAGGCTGTTGATTGTTGGCAGCGTGATAATCAGATTGATTTTCCCTCGCGCAAGCCCAACCCACGCAATACATCAAAGCAGGCTCATTATGCTTCTCAGGCTCCGTCTTCAAGTGCCATCGATCCTTCTTGGTATTTCGACACCGGTGCCATTGATCATGCTTCTCCAGATTTTCAGAAGCTGACCATCTCTGATGACTACAAAGGCAATGACAAGCTGCAAGTGGGCAATGGTAACCTTTTATCTATTTCTCACATTGGCAATTCTACTTTACATAATTTGCGCTTGCCTAATGTTCTCATTGTTCCTAAACTCACAAAAAGTCTTCTCAGTGTATCCAAATTTACAAAGGATAATAAGGTTTATATAGAATTTTGGCCTTCTCATTGTCTTGTCAAAACCTTTCAGGGTCAAACTATACTCCGAGGGGGCATTAACAACGGCCTCTACTGCATTAACTCCATTCACAATAAAGCTCGACCAACCCTGGCTCTCACCGGCATCCGTACGTCTGTCCACGGCTGGCACCAGCGGCTTGCCCATCCTCATGAACCTCTATTGCGTCGTCTTATTTCCTCATTTAATTTACCAATTTCTTCAAATAAATTTCCCAATGTCTGTGACTCTTGTCAACTTGGAAAGAGCCATCGATTTCCTTTAGCATCATCTCATATTGCGTCGTCTACTCCTTTTGAACTGATTTACTCTGATGTATGGGGTCCATCCCCCAAATTTTCAATCAATGGAAATCGGTATTTCGTTTTGTTTATTGATGATTGCACCAAATATGTGTGGATTTATTTTCTATCGCACAAATCACAGGTTTTCACTACTTTTGTGCAATTTTGTACTATGATTGAAACACAATTCAATGCAAAAATCAAACATCTTCAATCCGATTGGGGGGGTGAATTTCGCAATGTCTCTATTTTTTTAAAACAACACGGTATTTCTCACCGTATTACATGTCCATACACACAAGAGCAAAACGGTGCGGTTGAACGATGCAATCGTATCATCATTGAAAAAGGCCTCACTCTTTTGGCTCAATCATCTTTACCTCACGAATTTTGGGAACATGCTTTCAAAACTGCAACTTATCTCCACAATAGAACCATTACCCCCACCTTACACTACCATTCTCCATATCAACAATTATATCACAAAGATCCAAATTATGGTTTTCTCAAAACCTTTGGATGTCTTTGCTATCCTTTTCTTCGTCCATATAACAACCACAAAATTGATTTTCGTTCTCTTCCATGTGTGTTTATTGGTTACAGTACTTCTCACAAAGGATATCTCTGTTTTCATAAACCTACTGAGCGTATATATGTTGCAAGGCATGTTGTTTTTAATGAGCATATATTCCCATATTCTGTTTCTTTACATAATTCGGCGTCTAACTTATCTACTCCTGCTTCTCCAGAATTAAATTATGATTTATTAGAGCAAGCTGCTGGGCTGCCCACACCTTCGGCCACGTTCCAAACTGCACCTACAATTCAGCCAACAATTCAGCCCTCACTCACAATTCATCCCACTTCTCCGCCGGCCCCACAACAACATCAACAACATGTCTGCTGCTGCTCCTATAACAACACCTGCTGACCCACAGCATCGTCTAGTCAAAGCGGGTGAACCATTTGATGATCCAGCCTTATACAGACGCACTGTCGGTTCTCTCCAGTACGCTACAATCACCCGGCCTGATATTACGTATGCGGTGAATCGCGTTTGTCAATTTATGCATTCCCCGACACTTGATCACTGGCGTGCTGTCAAAAGAATACTTCGCTATCTTGCTGGTACTCTGTCACACTCTCTCCACTTCAGTCCAACTCAAGCAACTTCTTTTTTAGCATATTCAGACGCGAGTTGGATCTCGGATTCGGACGACAGCCGCTCTCAGTTTGGATATGCAATCTTTCATGGATCTAATCTCAGCTGGACTTCTCGCAAACAGAAGGTTGTTGCTCGCTCAAGCACTGAGGCGGAATATCGATCCCTGGCATACACCGCCGCCGAACTGCTTTGGCTCAATCTTCTTGCTTCTGAGCTTCATGTGCCTATTACTGGTCCTCCGTTGCTTCTCTGTGACAATGTTGGTGCAATTTTCTTGTCCAAGAACCCAGTTATCAGCACACGGTCCAAGCATATTGCGCTAGATTTTCACTTCCTTCGTGACCAGGTTGATTCCGGTACTCTCAAAATTGGCCACGTATCATCCGTTAATCAGCTAGCCGATATATTCACCAAACCACTTTCCAAAGATAGAGTTTCTTTTCTTCGTTCCAAGCTTCGCGTTCTTCCGAATCATCAGCTTGCTAGGGGGTAATAAGTAGTTAGTACTACTTTCCTGCCAAGTAACATTAGTGGAATAGGTCAGTAATTAGTTTCCTACTTTCATGCCAGTAACGTTAGTGGAATAGGTATTGATTGTTAGTTCCACTCCTTATTATTAGCATTCAGTTTCTCAATTCTTTGCTGTATATATTCGTGTAATTGTTTACCACATTAACATAGAATCATCAATTCAAATAACCTAAAGCTCTGATACCATGTAGAGAAGGGATTTGAATTGATGATTCTATGTTAATGTGGTAAACAATTACACGAATATATACAACAAAGAATTGAGAAACTGAATGCTAATAATAAGGAGTGGAACTAACAATCAATACCTATTCCACTAACGTTAACGTTACTGGCATGAAAGTAGGAAACTAATTACTGACCTATTCCACTAATGTTACTTGGCAGGAAAGTAGGAAACTAATTACTAACTACTTATTAATGAGAATTAAATGAATACAAATTTGACAGCTAGCACCGACACTCCGAAACGACTACGACACTGGCACAGCGACACCGGTAATAATTTGAAAAAATAAATAAATTAAAAACAATCACAAGAATCAGTGCAGATGTCTGACACCGACACCGATAAGGAGACGTCTTTTCTCAGAGGTGTTGGTGCTACAACAGTTGTCATAACTCACATTGCAAACACTTTATTCTAAAACCTAACAGAATTAGTTACAAATCCTAACAGAATTAGTTAGAAACTTACCAGAATAGCGGAAATTACGGAGGTAGTTAGCAGTAAGATTGAGAGATGGTTGAAAAACGAAAGCACGATGTGATTGTGAATTTTTTAGGGTTATAACTTTAAATTTCAATATTGTTCTTATTACTGCACCAGATTTCAAACCTGAATAAAAAATTGAGAAACAAAATCATTAGAAAATAAATTGAAAAAAAGTAATAATAAAAATGATGATTAGATGAAAGAAGAAGAATTGGTACTGGTAGTGGTGAAGTGGTTGAAATGAGAAGTTGAAGAGAAAGAGGAAAATCTAAAGAGATTAAGGAGTTTTGTGTGACCCAGCAATTTTTTCATTTTCCCCTCAATTCAATTCAAGTTAGTTTTTCTTTACGAACATTTGATAAAGTTTTCTGAAGAAAATGATTACTCCATTGCTCTCAGAAAAAGTTTATCATTTAACTTACGGTTATTAAATTATTGTTTTTCTGTTTTTCAATTATTTTACATTTTTTCTTCATTGTGTCATTAATAAAAAAAAATAACACGTACGTACCCTTAAATTTAGTTAAATAATCTTTTTAATTAATAAAATATTATAATTTAATATTATATCATTTTTTATTTATTTAAATTTAAAATAAACTAAAATATTAAAATAATTTACACTAAAAATATTGATATACATGGTGTATCAAAAATTTTACCTAATAAAAATTAAAGTATTAAGAGATATTTATAATTTTTTTTATCAACTTGATTGTTCGATTGGTCTAATTTTGAAGTGCGTGAATATTTTTTTAGAGAATTTCTCTTTACAACTTAGTAGTGGTGAAAATCACCCCTGAAAATCTAAAACTATCTTTCGGAGATGCATTTTCGAATGTGTCTATTAACATGTTTCCGAAGTGCATCTCCGAAGACACTTTTTTTCCACGTTTTATAACATAAATATTGGATTTGAATTTTTTGAGGTAGTTTCGGAGATGCACATGCGAAACATGCTGACAAGTGATTTCAGAAGTGCATCTCCGAAACTTTCTCTTTTTGTATCAATTTTGTTCACACCAATTACCTCTACCATATAAACGAAATAAAATTTTCGAAAGTATGAAACGAACATAACATTACTGAAAGTGCATAACGATTATAATATGTTCAAATATATGAAAACATAATTTAGTACATAAATTGTTCGGAAAGTGTGTAATGTAAAAATATCACATCAATAATAAAAAATAAAAGATAACAAAGGCTACTGCTACTGAGTATGCCTAATCCTCACTTCATGTGACCTCCTCTGTCGACTGTACTTTGTCGCACTAGATGCCTCACTAACCATCCTCCCAACTATGACAAACGCCTAAGGACCACCCCTCTCGATGATACCGAAATACAATGCCTCATGTCCAAGTAGGTGTATCCGCTGACAGACCGACAAGAGATCAATGGCATGGTCATCCTCAACCTGCTGGTTCTCCAAGATTTCCTCATGAGCTGGCCTAGATGGTCATCCAGGACCATCCAGTGTCATGATAGAGTGTGACAGGTTAAAGAATCATGTCACATAGCCCTCTACACAAAGCCAACTCTCAAATGTCGGCATCATCCGATACTCTTGTGGCACCTAATGATTCTCTCAATCCCGGAAGATGCCATCGAGATCCCATCGGGAAATGGTGTAGGGAGCAGTCTGAAAAGGAGATTTCGGTATCATCTGCACATAGCCAAACTATTGGATACACCTCTCCAAAAGATACATGATCATAAGATTCGACTCACATGCTAGCCATCCAGAGTATAATGAGATGGAATCAGATGGGACAATATCCCTGTAATCGCTAAATGGCGTCCATTTGATGTCATCATGATTAGTACAGTCAAGATACACCCGATAAGGCGACGCCTTATGGTTGCCTCTGTGGAGGACATACTTTGGAGCCCTCGGCATATCGTCAGTATAACCCTGAGCAGGCTCGAAACCATGAATGTGTTGAAAGTGAGAGATTATCCAGCTTTGAAACAGAAAGCATAGAATATGTAAGTACAAATTATAAAAAACAAGTTAACGGTAAAAGTTGAAATGAAAGGTACCGTGAGGAGTGTGCAAGAACCATGAGATGTATCACCCTCCACCTTGAAGCTTCATTCAGCTTCTAGTACAAGTATGCCAAAGTGGCGGCTCCCTAGTTCCGCTCATGAACAATACTCAGATCCATAAAATACCGGAGGTATGTCAGATCTACGTAGTAGGTACTTTTGTCCACAAAGAGGGACGTGCCACAAGGTGCTCTTCATATAGATCTTTCAGGTGCGCAAATTTTGCATGCGCCCCATTTGTTCTTCTGCAGTCCTCAGCTGCCCTATATGGATCATCACCCAGATACTAAATCATTCATTTGATCGCCTCCACTTGTGTTATCTTGTGGTGGTTAAGTAACCTCCCTATGATAGGTAGATGGAGCAAGCAAGCAACGTCATCAAGTGTGATCGTCATCTCCCTAACATGAAAGTGGAAAAATGATGTCTCCTTGTACCACCTCTCAGCAAATGCATCCTACATTCTGTGGCTTATAGTATTGTAACTAGTGCAGCATAGTCCAGAAAGTCCAGATCTAACAACAGTTTGATGGAACCAATCAGTCGCAGGTATAAACAACTCAAATGTTTTCCGCGAGTGATTCACGGATTTAATTGGAAACCATTCCTAAAATCAAAAAAATAATAGTTGTTAATTATAAATTTGTGACTAAACCTATATAATGAAAAAGTGTAACCAAAAAAATACCTTTCCATCCCAAACATGTCGAGCGGCATGATCATTATAATAGATCAATAAGGAGGTGTCATAAGGCCCTCCTGGATAGCCGACCTCCTCTCCGGGTATCTCAACATGATCGGCCTCCTCAGCATGTTCACCGGGAACCTTTTCATCGAGAACCTCCTCATTGGGAACCTCCTCATGGGTATCTGCTCATGCGCATGAGAGGTAGACGCCTAAGACAGACGAATCCTTGGAGCAGAAGAAGAACCTACAGACAATTCTTCCTATTGTATCTGACCCCGTCCTCGAGACCTGATAACCTGTTGCGTAACTTTCTCTCTCTCTCTCTCTCTCTCTCTCTCTCTCTCTCTCTCTCTCTCTCTCTCTCTCTCTCTCTCTCTCTCTCTCTCTCTCTCTCTCTCTCTCTCTCTCTCTCTCTCTCTCTCTCTCTCTCTCTCTCTCTCTCTCTCTCTCTCTCTCTCTCTCTCTCTCTCTCTCTCTCTCTCTCTCTCTCTCTCTCTCTCTCTCTCTCTCTCTCTCTCTCTCTCTCCGAGCAGAGACAGTCTGGCTTGGCCTCCCTTGTCTCAAACGATTGTTCCCGTCCTGATTGTCCGCCATAATCCTGAAAAATTAATTTAAATTGTTAATTAAAAAAACAACTCAGGCAAGAAATCAGATGTGCACTTCCAAAACTGGTCCTGAGGGGTTTCACATGTGCACTTCCGAAACCACCTTCGAATCCATTTTCAACAGACTGCTTCTTCTTGCCCAAATACAACTTTTTTGTCACCTAAACACCTAAATTTAACTATTTTAACAACAATATACACAATGTAATTGATTCTAACTAACCTAATAAACTATTATAATATTGCATAGTGAATCAAATGGAAATGGAGAAAACTTACACAAACTCGAAGTTTTGGGATGACTTGGAATGACTTGAAAAGAGTTGAAATGTGGAGATGAATACAAGTGAATTAGTGCTTCAAGTGAAAAAATTAATGGTTTGAAGTGGAAATGATAAGTTTTGTTGTTTGGAGTATGTGATACGGTGGGAGAACTGACTTGAGGTTTTGCGTTTGTGTTCGCAAATGTTTCGGTTTAGCAAGAGTCGTCACCGACTTTTATTTTATCCAAAAGGAAAGGTAAAAAAACACAGGAAAGACCTTTGAGATTGTTTTTGGGTTCGGGGGATAGATTATGAAAAGGGAAGGTGCTAGCACCCTTTTCATCCATGGTTTTCCATGGGCTCTTAGTTACTTGTTTAGATCACTTGCTTTTGCTTTTCAATTGTTTGAAATGGTGCTTTGTGTATGGTTTTGAAAGTATTTTGAAAAGAGGCCTTTGTTTAGGCAACCTTTGTAATGATTCTTGTTTGAATGTATACAAAGGTGTTTGTCTTTTGAAAAATATTTCAATGTTTTGAAAGTTGTTTGGAAATTGTTTTGAAATTGTGTGTTTGTTTGAAAATAGCAAGGATGTTAGCAAATTAATTAAGTAACTAGGAGTTGTCTACCCTAATCAAAAGTCTTTCCTACACATTTTTAACCCTTTGACATTGTTGTTTTACCATTGTATTTGGTAAACAACCCTATCTTTGGATGTTAAACGGGACGGGCGCGGGTCATCGTATGACCATGATAGCAATGGTGCCAAGTATCTTAGCAAGTTTTTTGAGGGACTAGATCATTTTTGTTTAGGCAACCAAGATAGCGTCATCGAGGGACTATGATCTTTTGTTTTGTTTGATTTTTGTCAAGATACCTAGCATGCATACCATGTCCATTTTAAGGCAACAAAGTGGATGAAACCCTAGGGGTGCTTGTGTGCAATGTGTTGTCATTTTTCATGCTTTTTTGTCTTGTGTTAGGTCATGATATTTGTTTTGATTTTTGGTCTTTTGCATACAAACCCTAATTTTTACTATCATGGTATATGAAAGCAATAAATGCGTAAAGTAAATCTAGACTATTAAACAATATTATGGGAAGGGGGTACAAGTTTGAATAGGGGGGCATTGCACAAAAATAAACCCTAATTTACTATTACAACTCAATTGAATTTATACAACAATAAATAAATGAACAATTATTTAAATGTACAATAAAATATAAATATGAAAGAAAATGTTTTTGTACTAATTTTAATGTATGTAAAAATAAACTTATTTAGGTCTTAAAAAATAAGAAAAATAAAATGATTATTTTTGAAAGGCTGAAAACCCTAATTTTTGTTTTTTAAAGGAAAATATACTTTATATTAATTATTTTTTTATTCAAGAAAAATAATAATAATATGTACAAAAATATTGAAAATTAAAATGTGTGACAAAATAATATTTTACATGTATAATAATAAACATAAAAATGTATGATATTTTTTATATTATTTACAGGTTTTATTTAAGAAAATAAAGTATATTATTATTAATAAACTATTTTTATGCCCAAAAAATAATTAAAATAATAAAATAAAATGTGAAAAATTAAGAAGACATTTTTTGTGATTTTAAATATTTAGAAAAAATAAATAAAGTCAAAAAATATAAAAGAAATGAGAAAATATACAAAATAAAGAAAAATGGGCCAAG